GCATGAGACTCTTAATGTCAGGGTTGTGGGTTCGAGCCCCACATTGGGCGTTTCTGTTACCTCTCATTCTCTCAGCAAACTATCATTAGGGTTCATATAGTAGACCTTTTGAGACAAAGTTCCGCGTTTCTACCACTGTAGGTGACCTTTCACTAAGTCTCTGTGGCGCAATCGGTTAGTGCGTTCGGCTGTTAACTGAAAGGTTGGTGGTTCAAGCCCACCCAGGGACGAATTAGGCATTTTGCTGCCTTGCAACTGCTAACATGTGCACTGGACATAGATCCTGGGCCACATTCTGTCCAGCGTTACAAGACGAAATCAGGATTTAGCAGAACATTGTCACGGGTAGGGAAGGTATTACCGTAAAATGTTTCTGGTTCCTAAAAGAGCTTCTCCTGGGCCACATTCTGCCCAGCGTTACAAGACGAAATCAGGATATAGCAGAACATTGTCACGGGTAGGGAAGGTATTACTGTAAAATGTTTCTGGTTCCTAAAAGAGCTTCTCATCAGCCCGGCTAGCTCAGTCGGTAGAGCATGAGACTCTTAATCTCAGGGTCGTGGGTTCGAGCCCCACGTTGGGCGTTTCTGTTACTTTTCTCTCTCTCTCCCAGCAAACTTACATTAGGGTTAATGTAGCAGACTTTGAGACAAAGTTCCGCATTTCTACCACTGTAGGTGACATTTCACTAAGTCTCTGTGGCGCAATCGGTTAGCGCGTTCGGCTGTTAACCGAAAGGTTGGTGGTTCAAGCCCACCCAGGGACGAATTAGGCATTTTGCTGCCTTGCAACTGCTAACATGTGCACTGGACATAGATCCTGGGCCACATTCTGTCCAGCGTTACAAGATAAAATCAGGATTTAGCAGAAGATTGTCACGGGTAGGGAAGGTATTACTGTGAACGGTTTCTGGTTCCTAATAGAGCTTCTCGTCAGCACGTTAGGCTGTTAACTGAAAGGTTGGTGGTTCAAGCCCACCCAGGGACGAATTAGGCATTTTGCTGCCTTGCAACTGCTAACACGTGCACTGGACATAGATCCTGGGCCACATTCTGTCCAGCGTTACAAGATGAAATCAGGATTTAGCAGAACATTGTCATGGGTAGGAAGGTATTACTGTAAACGGTTTCTAGCTCCTAAAAGAGCTTCTCATCAGCCCCGCTAGCTCAGTCGATAGAGCATAAGACTCTTAATCTCAGCGTCGTGGGTTAGAGCCCCACATTGGGCGTTTCTGTTACCTCTCTTTCTCTCAGCAAACTATCATTAGGGTTCATAAAGCAGACCTTTTGAGACAAAGTTCCGCGTTTCTACCACTGTAGGTGACCTTTTACTAAGTCTCGTTGGCGCAATCGGTTAGCGCGTTCGGCTGTTAACTGAAAGGTTGGTGGTTCAAGCCCACCCAGGTACGAATTAGGCCTTTTGCTGCCTTGCAACTGCTAACACGTGCACTGGACATAGATCCTGGGCCACATTCTGTCCAGCGTTACAAGATGAAATCAGGATTTAGCAGAAGATTGTCACAGGTAGCAAGGTATTACTGTAAACGGTTTCTGGTTCCTAAAAGAGCTTCTCATCATCCCCGCTAGCTCAGTCGATAGAGCATGAGACTCTTAATCTCAGCGTCGTGGGTTAGAGCCCCACAATGGGCGTTTCTGTTACCTCTTATTCTCTCAGCAAACTATCATTAGGGTTCATATAGCAGACCTTTTGAGACAAAGTTCCGCGTTTCTACCACTGTAGGTGACCTTTCACTAAAGCTGCTTTTCCACTATCGTGCCAAACCGTTCTAAGAACACTTCGGTACGGTTACGGTTGTTTCTCCACTGAGCCTGGAACGGCGCGGCACGATTACAAACCGTTCTTGGCCCGGAATTTTCGGCACGGTTAGACAACCGTGCTGAACTGTGCTGACAGTTTCTGTGTGTTGACGTCCAGTCTCTGGAAGAGAAGTGAATAACTCATCACATTCTTACGAAGATATTTTATTCATTAAAGTTATTATTTTATTGACTTGAATACAGACCTACATCGCTTGCCTGGATGTGAGTTTATTGCACACAGCGCTGTATTTCACAGCACAAAACTAGCTCTGATCCGGGAGAGACATGCCAGTCAGACTTGCGCTGCTGACTTTTTTTTCCTGCGGCGCATCGAATAAAGCGAATAAAGTCACGCTTTGCATCGTCGATGTCCAAATACCACAACAACATCACCATGGAACACGAACTTGCAGACTCTTTTAACAACGAGGAAATAATTGCACTTTTTAATTCAAAGCCAGGACAGCTTGTTAATACCGGCGAGACCACCTGAAGGACGGCATGTTCGTGTTGTAATGTCGGCCGTCCAAAAGACTTTGCTTGAAAGCTTTACGGAGCGGCACTGTAACTGTCCAAGGTACTGTTGTATGATTTATATTATAGCATATGCACTAATAAACAAGTCAAAAGAATGAATGAATTAAATAAATTTGGATTCTTAAATGTCAGTATTGCTTTTACTCAAAAAATATCAATACGTTTTCACAAATGTTTTATAAAAATAAAATGAGCAATTTTTATCATTTCAGCTATAGGCAATTATATGATTCAATTATACATAAGTTATATGACATTTATGAGGCATGTAACATGTTTCTGTGGTTTTTTTTTTTTTTTTGTGGTGATCTTTAATATAGCTACGCAAATATTTTCTAAAACGTCTAGCAATAATTCGCCTACAGCTTGTTAGTTAATTATGAACACAAAAATAATTATAATAATAAAAATAAAATGATCAAAATAAAAAGATAATAGAGCATAATTTTGCTAAATATAATAGTGCTTTATATGCTTTAAATCCTGCGATATATTTTCATATTCGTTTTTTTTTCACTTGCTGCATTCGTTATTTAATGTTTGAATAGTAAAACAAATAACAGCCATCGCTTAATTGGTTTCATTTTACCATCAAAATTTAGTATATTTTATATTATTATCAACTTTTTATATAAAAACGCAGTGTAATTTAAATAATTGTTTAAAATGAAATAATTTAAGTGCTGTGTTTTTATTAGTGAAAGTGCCCGCTCACCTTTGACAAGGCCTGTCTAAAATTATATTTCTGCCACTATAATGCAAATGCATTATTATTGTTGTCTTATCATTGTTTATTTTTCTGTTATGTTCAGAGATTTTAAATATTATTTATTTCCCCTCCAAATATTTTCAATCATCACGTTACATTTTGGTAATTTTCCCTCCAAATAAAATTTAGCCAGAGCTGCGCAACATATGAATAAATAAGGGTGCACATGTACCTATATTTAGCACCCCTATATGATAGAGCGGCATAACAGTGTTTAGTCACATGGTTGCTTTTGCTTTTATGAAAAAAATAAATAAATAGTTTCGGCTCTTATTTAACTTTAATTGAACAAAGGGAGCCGTTTACATTGCGTTACCAAGGCAACTACTGATGCGTTTTGTGTAATGTTTTAAAGAGCTTTGTCGCAGCACGACAGTGGAAAATGAAACCGTATCCGTGCTGTCTGGCCCGGTTTGGCACGGAATGGAACAGTTCTGTTTAAAGAACGATTCAGCACGATAGTGGAAAAGCGGCTTAAGTCTCTGCCGCAATCGGTTAGCGCGTTAGGCTGTTAACTGAAAGGTTGGTGGTTCAAGCCCACCCAGGGACGGATGAAGCATTTTGCTGCCTTGTAACTGCTAACACGTGCACTGGACATAGATCCTGGGCCACATTCTGTCCAGCGTTACAAGATGAAATCAGGATTTAGCAGAACATTGTCACGGGTAGGGAAGGTATTACTGTAAACAGTGTTTAGCTCTTAAAAGTTCATCTCATCAGCCCGGCTAGCTCAGTCGGTAGAGCATGAGACTCTTAATGTCAGGGTGGTGGGTTCGAGCCCCACGTTGGGCATTCATGTTATTTTTCTCTCTCTCTCCCAGCAAACTTACATTAAAGTTTATGTAGCAGACTTTGAGACAAAGTTCCGCGTTTCTACCACTGTAGGTGACTTTTCACTAAGTCTCTGTGGCGCAATCGGTTAGCGCGTTCGGCTGTTAACTGAAAGGTTGGTGGTTCAAGCCCACCCAGGGACGAATTAGGCATTTTGCTGCCTTGCAACTGCTAACACGTGCACTGGACATAGATCCTGGGCCACATTCTGTCCAGCGTTACAAGATGAAATCAGGATTTAGCAGAAGATTTTCACGGGTAGGGAAGGTATTACTGTTAACAGTGTCTAGTTCTAGTGGGGACTCCTCATCCGCCTGGCTAGCTCAGTCGGTAGAGCATGAGACTCTTAATCTCAGGGTCGTGGGTTAGAGCCCCACATTGGGCGTTTCTGTTACCTCTCTTTCTCTCAGCAAACTATCATTAGGGTTCATATAGCAGACCTTTTGAGACAAAGTTCCGCGTTTCTACCACTGTAGGTGACCTTTCACTAAGTCTCTGTGGTGCAATCGGTTAGCGCGTTAGGCTGTTAACTGAAAGGTTGGTGGTTCAAGCCCACCCAGGGACGGATCAATCATTTTGCTGCTTTGCAACTGCTAACACGTGCACTGGACAAACATCCTGGGCCACATTCTGTCCAGCGTTACAAGATGAAATCAGGATTTAGCAGAACATTGTCATGGGTAGGGAAGGTATCACTGTTAACAGTGTCTAGACAAAGTTCCGCGTTTCTACCACTGTAGGTGACCAATCCCTAAGTTTCTGTAGCAACATTATGAAGCTGCAGGCCCCGAGACCCAACCGCACGCTCAGACCTGCTCGCTCAGACCAGCACTTCCAGACCTATCGTTTTCTCAGACAGTGCCACCTGCTGTTGGAAAAATTGCCTAACCTGAATTCATTGATTTATAAATTGTAAATTACACAATTTTTCTACTATAAAATATTTCACTATGATTGAATACATTATTATATAAAATATTAAACATACTAGATTATGATTTAATGCATTAAGTCTGTTGTATTTTAATTAACTGTATTTGTAAATAGATATTGTTCAGTTACTTAAATATTTTCAGTCATTTATTGTTTTTGTTGTTGTTTTTTGTTTTTAAATCATTAAGGATTTATCAAACTCTTTAGTATCGAGTTGAGGGAATGAACATTATCTTATTATTCACAGAATAAATGACAGTACTCTGAGTAATTTTCTCACACCAAACTTTATTTTTTTATAAATTTTCATGAGGTCCTACAAGTCATCGAGCTGTAAAAAATGCAGAGAAAAATAATACTTTGATTAATAATGTATTTATTACATATAAAATAAAATGCTTTACATTCTTGTTGGGGAGATTTTTCATTTCTCGAGCAATTCTTCTGTTAAATTCCTCAACTTCACTAAAAAAAAAAATAAATGCTGTTGTCAGAAATTGTGTTTAACATAAAAACTTAACAGCTTTTGAACAAAAAAAAATGTAAACATACCTTGCGTGATAAATGGGGCCCTGGAGGAAGACATCTTCAGCCTCCAGCCAAGACAAGCCTTGTAACTCGGAAATGCCATGAGTTATGGCCTGTACAAACATACAGATAAACCAATTAATAAAATAAAACACACACTGCAGAACATAAGCATGCTCATGTACATACATGTTTTGTGATTACCTCTGGGAGGAGACATCCACAAATGAACTCCACCTCATCATTGAAGGTCAGCTGTGTTTTGGTTTTATTAAGAATTCCTCTGATGTAGTCACAAATGATTGACTGGGACTGCTCATTCTCAATGTAGACAGGCACTTGAGAACGGGGTTTTAGTGGAAACCAATTTGACCTTTTTCCACCGAGTATATCCTTTGGGCCATAAAAGGAAATTATAATTCATATGTAAATGCACAATTAATTAATTAATTATATTTGGCAAATAATAGTTAAATTGTCACTTGACTATATTTAAGTCAACCATACTCAGAGTCTAGAGGAGTAATTTAAAGTGGAACCATCTATACCACCAAATGCTTCTCTGCTGATTTTGATGTGATAATCAAGTCCACTAATCTTTTGTCATTCCTTTCCCGATCTTGAACTGCTTGGACATGTGCCGGAAGATTGGATGTGGTTTTTCTTTTCACCCTAAAAAGGAGCAGAATCTTTCCATCCAAGACACTTCTTGCCGCCTCAGTCCAGAAAGCAAATCTGTGCCCATAGCTTTTAATAACAAGACAAGACAAAATCCATAATTACTGTGTAACGAGGAGACTGACACGGAGGGATCCATTATGCAGTATTTATTAATCACAACTTCACTCAAACACACAATATGCACCGGAGTGCACACACACATCCACAGTAGTAGTATGGGTTTCAAGACTGATGATGAACAGACACAGAGTGAGTTACCAGACATGAGTGGAAGGGAGTGAGCGAGAACCAGGATCCGTTATGCAGGCTTGGGTCAAGGGCAGGCAGCAAGGATCAGAGTCCGTATAACAGGCGTGGTTCGTGGGCAGGCAAAGAGAGAGTCAGAGTCCGTATAACAAGCGTGGGTCGTGGGCAGGGAGAAGGCGAAGCAAAGTAAGAGACAGGCTGGAGTCGTGCACAGGAGATCAGGCTGGCGATAATGCTCAGAAATGCTGGCCGGGGCTAAACAAGACTTCGCCCTGATCGAGTGTTTGAGTGCGGCTTATAAGAGGTACGTGGGTCATTAGCCAGATTCCAATCAGGTGTATGCGCAATCAGTGTAGATGGATGACGTAATGCTAAAAGTCCAGAGATGGTGGCCTCTGCTGGCCAGCGAGGGGAGTTACTGGGACCGAGTCGGTGACATACTGGTCACCGGTAAGAGAGATTTTAAGTATGTTTTGTTATTCATGTTACAAGTTGTTGTATTGACTCAATATAAATTTTTAATTTTACAGATTTACAAGAAAAATAAATAAATACTGACATACCCATCAATTTGAAATCGTTCCATGAGTAGAAGGCACCACCACTGACGGATGATAGGTATATCCATCTGAAAGAAAGACTGTTTAGTCTGACAGTTAACCAACATGTTTTTGTTAATACATGATGTTGAGTGTGCTTGCAATAACCATGCCCTTTTTTTTAAAAGATATGTTGCTTAGAAGAAAGCAAGATAATATACACTAAAATAGTTACATTTTAGCTATGATTAAGAAAAGCACCAACAAAATAAATTACATAAATAATAAAATAATACCTCCTGGAATTGAAACCTAATGCCAAACACCATTGAGAGGGTGTACTGAAAAGAGAGAAGCCACAGTCATTTACAATGTTTACAAAATCTTTAAATCAATTAACTCAATTTATATCTTACCATGAGTACAAAAACACCACAATCATTCCCTCTTGTCTGACGTGGCAAAGCCTAAAATAGGCAAAGCAAATCAATTTTATTTTAGAATAATGTACAAAAAATTTAATTGTTGTAAAAGCCAAAAAATAATTTTTTAAAAGTTGATTCCTCACTGGAAAATCATATCCAGTTTTTTCAGACCATGTCCCATGATCCACTTGGTAAGCAACTTTCCTGTAAACAAAACATAGTAGTAATACTAACAATTACAGCTCACCTCAACTCTAGAACACCATGCATAAAAAAGGCTAGATGAACATAGCCAGAAGTTCAAGAAACGGCTAAAGGAACGTAGCCAAAAGTGACAGAACTATAATACACAGTTAGGAAATAAATAGAAATGGCTATAGGAACGTAGCCATATATCACATAAAGGCTGAAACATGTCTTAGTTTATTGATAGACCTAAAAATTGCCCTGTATTCCTCATCTCCAAATCCTGATTCATGCTCTGCGTACAGAGAGTCTAAAAACACCATCTCTCTTCGAAGCGGCATCATTATCTACAATGTTAAAGGTGTAAAAATATTTCATTTGAACATTATTGCTTCTTCCAAGATTTTTCAGTGTTTTATTTTAGAAACACACACATTGCAATACCAATTAATGTATGCACTAGACATTTCAATATTTTCTTACACAGACAACAAAGCGGTCTGGTCCACTGGCATTTGTCCATGCTGGAAAGGCTAACAGGTCTTTCAAGTCTGCATCTTCCCAGAATTGATCAGGACAGTTATGTCGTTTAATTTAGGTTGTACTTCTCACACAGTAAATACAGTACATACACGCACCGGTAATCCATTAACAATGTTGTTAGGAGTTTCTTTCCACACAGGGACAACATAAAAGTCCTCAATGTATATGTCCTTGCCCTACATGAATAAAAAGAAACTGTTGACAATGACATGAACATTTTCACACAGTTTAGAAATTGTTTTTTTTTTAAATTTGGATCAAGTTAAAACAATCTATATAAATATTATGTTTTATAGTACATACAATTTGTCGAGCCATTTCACAAATAAGCTTCATGCAGGCGTTTCCAATCTGCAATAAATACTTTGATAAGTCAATGTTTTTAATAAAAAAAAAGTTATAATAAAAAAACAGACTGCTTACATGGGAGTCCATGTCCCTCAACAATCCAAGGCTCCAAAATTCTTCTCGAATAAGGCACACTTGCCCCTCCTTCACAATTATTTCACTGCCAGGGCGATTTCGGTCCAGCACATAATCAAGCTGTAATAATAATAACAATAAATATGTGTGTGTGTGTGTGCGTTTGTATGTAATGGTAATTGTTCACCAGTTTCTCTTGTAATGGATGCCAGTCCCTCTCCCAAGGCTTAGTAGGTTCCAAAAAATTCAGAAGAGTGGTAGGTTCACAAGCTGTTTTTTCTGTAATTGGTACTGATGACAGAGGAGATGGGACTGATGTTATGCCTGGTGATGCAGCGGTCGTTTGTAAAGTCACAATATTTTCTGGCAGTGCTGTCAGTGGTCCTTAGAGTACAATAAAGCATCAAAACTAGAAAATAACACATAATAATTAGAGAACAGAAACTTGACACTGAGCAACTGGAAAGAACAGTCAAATTACCAAGTGACATATCCATGCATTTCTCTGTGGAGGATGGATTTTCTATAAATACAAATATACACATAAGTACAGTTATGGATATAGTGATGTATTTGTTACAAAGTAAGGGAAACATTACCTAACACAACCGGGCTGTGGTCATTCATGTGAATGTTTGTGTTGAATTCCTTTTTTATGTCATGAAGACGTTTCTCGTTTTTTCTGACATTGTAATGGTGGATGATGTTTCGCATGAGGAAAACATGTGTGGATGGCAATGCCATGTTCATAAAGTAGTTATTTTTCTTTAGCTTTGAAAAAAGCTGTTCTGCAGCCTGACTGTTAACTTTGCCAGCTAGTTGAGGCACAAGACGAAGCTTCCTCAGTGAATCACGAGGATCTTTTGTGTTGTCTTCGTGAAAGCGGTCATACAGAAAATAGTGTTCTGCAGAACCAGTTATTGGATGACCATCCGGATCTGGACTTTGCTTTTTTGCAGTGAGCCATGGCAGAATTACCTGTAATTTTCCTGATTTTGCTTTTGCAATATTTTCAGTGGTTGGTTCGAGTAACCTTCCCTCGAAAGGTGTGAAAGTTATGGGTTGCCTCAAACTTGAGTGGGTGGACAGTCCACGGGCAAAGTCATAAATAACAACATCAGGCAGATGCTTCCAAGACAGAAGCATATCTGCAAAATCCCGTGGACTTTCTGCTCGCAGATTACACTTTATACTGTAAACTATGCCACAAGGACACATGATGACAGCCCAACCTCTTGGAACAGACAAAAAAGATAAGCAAATAGTTAAGAAAACATAATCAAATCCCATTAATGACATTGGGACTTAAATGACCATAGGTTATGATGGAGGGCAGTGGCATTAACCTTAACAAAGTATACTTTTAAAAATTTTAAAGATGCAGTGCCTCAGAGATTTAAATACACTCCCCTACACAGAAAGCAACAATACACCCTGGTGTCAGACAAGGCCACCTCCAACACCCCCCAGAGCTGTACACCACCAATCACTCCCCAATCAGTGCCAAGCAGAAAACAGGACCCATTATGTCTATGTGACTTTGTACATTTCTGATTTATTTGTATTATTTTAATGTGCGACATTGAGGTTTACCTGAAGCAGCCCAAATCTTTTCAAAAACCTTGTCATAGGCCTCCCTTGACCTCATCTCCTCCGAAAGTCGCAGGAGTAGATCTGTGCGAGAGCCTTTGGCATCTAAACCACACTCTTGACACAGTCTTCTTATCACTCCCACCTATCACATAAAACACACATGTTAAATGAAATGCCAACACTGACAAATAATACATATAATTAGCATTAAATATTTTACTTTCTGTTTTGAAAGTTCGTCCTTTAAGCGATCTTCAGAGACAGTTATTTCTGTTCGTTCTGCAGTTTTTGCTTTGTGCACTTTCTCAAATTCAGTGTTGAGAACAACATTCGCTATGCGAGTCTTACTCCCGATCCAGGGTGCCCAAAAGTTGTAACTAGGTGTAACACAAAATGGATTGTTTTTTTGACCTTTAGGACAAACAAACATGTTAATACATCAGTGAATTTAGATTGTACTCCTGAAAACACTTATGAAATTAAATAATGATGACATGCCATTCCTGATATAATAAATTTCCTTACTTGAAAAAAATCCTCGAGCAATTCGTTCTTCTGTCAGTGCCTTCCAAAACATATCTAAATCCACCTCTCCATTAAAATCTTGCGGAGGCTGTAAAGATCACACACTAAAGAAAATAAATACATACTATAAACTTACTAATAGTTTTACTAATAAGACTTACCTCTCTGCAGTAAAAAGGAAAGATATAGGTGACATGAAAGACACAGATGGATGGTCACCACAAGATACACATGAATACTTGTATTCATGGTCAGTTAGGGCCTCAAAATGCAGATAGCCGTGGAGAAGAGTAACTGCTGAGGGGAACTGTACACCTGTAGTTACCTCTAAGTACTCCACTACTCTGCTGACTGCTGTATGCACCTATGATAAAGAAATCACAGTTAATCAGTACTTATCTAGGCAAGGCAAGGCAAGTTTATTTATATAGCACATTTCATACACAATGGTAATTCAAAGTGCTTTACATAAACAAGAATAAAAGAGACAAGTATAAGAAAATAAAAACAAAGAATAAAAATGATTAAAAAAAACAGTTAAAAACAGAAAACATAATAGTGTGAACTGTCGGACGTAGCACAGTGCTCATTCAGTAAAGGCACAGCTAAACAGATGTGTTTTAAGTCTTGATTTGAATGTGCCTAATGTTGCCTAACATAAAATCAACACTATGAAGAAATCCTATTGTTGTTAAAAATATTATATTGTATAACATATAATATATGTATTTTATAACGATTACCTGCAACAGGTTTCTTATGGTGAGGCAGAGAGAGAGTTCAAGGAGGACATGGTCATTGAAGTTATGCAAACCATTAGCCCACTCTTGGTAACGGTACACCATTCCACAGAAAGGACATAATTTGTAGTAGGTTGAAATATCTGCAGATACAGAATGTAAAATAAATGGTTTAGTATCTTTTTCATAATTAAAATAAAATAAAAAATGTAAGTAACAATTTTCCACCTTGGACAATTCCTGTAGTTGTAAGAATTTTCGCATTACGTGTAATGCAGACAGGATCACTGAGCAATGTGCGGTCTGAGCAGTGGTAGCACATTGTCTCATCAGGGATTAGGTGTTTTGGAAATTCCTTATAGTCTGAAGAAATCCTCAAATGACTTGGAATAGTAGATGGTAGCTTTTTATTCATTAAGATGTATTCTACTATGCTCTTTACTTTAGCAATGTCCTTTGGAGGGTAATTCTCACTTTCATCACTTTCCTCCATCGCTGCTGCCTGAAATTCTTCAGCGCTTTCAGTGCTCCGAACTTTTCGGAAGAGTTCAGGGTGAATTTGAAAGAGGTGCCATTTTGCTATGTATTTATGGGTACATGATCTCTGGGTTTTTGCACAGGGGCAGTGCCATGAATTCTTCTTGGTGTCATATGATACCATGACTCTGCCCAGTCTACTATAATATGATATATTAGGCTCGTAGACCGATATGAACCTTTTTGTTGGTGGGACTCCAATCTTGGATTCAACTGACAGTGGTGCATTTTCTTCTTGGGCTAGTTTTTGACGATTTACACACTGTTTTATTTTGTCCTGCCCAAACCACTTGCTTTTAACCATTTCTTTTAAACTTTCTTCTGTGAGTGAAGGTGAGGTTAAAAATGTTTTGCAGTATGAAACTGACCGGAGGTGAACACATTTGTATGACAGCAGTCCACTTCTCCAAGCCAACTCCATATTAGTCTGGCACTCATTTAATTCACATGAAACACGATGTGGTTCCCCCCATATTTGTATTTGCACATGGAGTGAAGTAGAAGCTCCATGAAAACTTTTGTGGACCATATAGACTCCATTCTGAGGGTCTATGCACTGATGTCAAGATGAGATGAGGAAGTGATGTCCATCATTTTTGGGGTGTGTTTATGTTCTATATGTCTTTTTAAATTTTTATAGTCGCATATCAAATCACATTTGGGACATTGCTTTAGTTGCTTTGGTTTTTTCCGACAATTTTTTTTTTAAGGGCCTAGAAATGCCAGAAGTGGTGGGCAGAGCCATGTCAGTGGATAGAGGCACATGTGTGGCGGGCAGAGCCGTGGCAGTGGAGAGAGGCACATGTGTGGCAGGCAGAGCCGTGTCAATGGAGAGAGGCACATGTGTGGCGGGCAGAGCCGTGGCAGTGGAGAGAGGCACATGTGTGGCGGGCAGAGCCGTGGCAGTGGAGAGAGGCACATGTGTGGCGGGCAGAGCTGTGGCAGTGGAGAGAGGCACATGTGTGGCAGGCAGAGCCGTGTCAGTGGAGAGAGGCACATGTGTGGCGGGCAGAGCCGTGGCAGTGGAGAGAGGCACATGTGTGGCGGGCAGAGATGTGGCAAAAGTTGTGGTGGCTTTAGTATGAGGGGTTGGTGGTTGTTGTTTTTGTTTGCAGAGTCCTAAATGTTTAACAAAATCAGGTTTTCTTAAAATGGTTGATTTGCAGAAGAGGCAGTGATAATGTGGCTGACTTCTGCAGAGGCGTCCACATCTGTGTATTGTAAATTCTGAAAAAAAAAAGCAGTATAAGATTGCACTTTAAGTTTTCTTACAATTTTTCACTATAATAAGATGTACATTTTCAAATATTACCTTCATGCTGGACTGATCTATTAAAATGTGCCTGCAGATGTGATTGCACTTTTTTCAATCGTGTTGGTTGGAAAACCGAGACATCACAAAATGGACAATGAAAATATGTGCAGCATTTGGTGCACTGTACAGGTACTGGCAGAGACCCCCCTTTTTGAATTGTAATATCCATCTAGGAAAAACATACACAAGTCACAAGCAAATTATATTTGTTTTAACCTAAGAGAGCTCATATTGTAAATGTTATGCAGATTAATTGATATTTTGATTTCCAGAGATCTTATTTACAATTGTTAAACTGTTATTGTGTTACTGTTATTGTCTGTACCACTTTCAGATAGATAATACAGTAATACGTTCAGTAGACCTACATAGCACTTTAAAGTAAAAATGTTAAAATAAAATGTATTGTGTATATAAAGCAATTATTAATTGTAACATTAAAGTTTTTTATTTTGCCAGAAATCATTGCTAGAAAAGTGTCCCAGAATGGTACAATAACAGAAAATAAGAGCACGCTGTAAATATCATAAAATAATGCTATCTTTTGACTAATTCAAATCAAACACTGAAATATTGTTTGTTAGTGTAATAAGATGTCACATTGATTTATGCCATAAAACCTGCTAATTTCAAGAATCGCTTTAATAAAATGAATAACCTTACTCACGTGTCCGATGTTGCTACTTCCTAGAAAGTGCTGCTCTGAGCGTGGGTCTCGATACCTGCCGCTTCACCCAACCCAACAGCAGGTGGCACTGTCTGAGAAAATGATAGGTATGGAAGTGCTGGTCTGAGCGTGCAGGTCTGAGCGTGCGGTTGGGTCTCCGGGCCTGCAGCTTCACCCTACCCCCAAATGTGGGAATCTCGACTGCATAATTTCTGGTAGTGAGGGACTGCGTTCGCGCTCTCCCCTGAGCACAGTGGTTCAAGACAGAGTTCAGGCGGTAGCGTCGGGCCCGGCTGGAGCGGTGCTTCCCTCTCTTCCTCGTCCTTTGCCAAGCCTCTTTTGCTCCAGTTGAGCCGTGCGCGCCTGTGGAAGGCCTGCCCACCCGTCGCTAGAAGAGTCTGTTCTGACGCCGTAAACTACTCGAAAGGTCCCCTCTCAAAGCGGTTTGCTGTAAGCTTTTCGAAGTCCTTCATTTGGCAGCTGATAGACTTCCCCGTGTCACAGCTTCGCTGCCATTATTTTTTCTCGCCTTCAAGGGCATTGTTTCTGTCGGTGCTGTGTCGATGCCAGCTGAGCTGCGCTCGTTCCCTGGTGCTGCGCCTTTTTTAAATAGCCAACTCTTGACGGGCTCTTTCGCTTACGGCCATACCACCCTGGACACGCCCTCTAGTGTGAGTGAAGCAGGTCGCACACCAGAAGCGCCGCTCGGCGGCGCGCCGCGCAGCGCCACGCAGCGCCACGCAGCGCCATGTATTTTAGAATTCTAAACATAGGTTTCTATCAGGATACACACACCGGCGCCGCAAGTCGGCGGCTGTCGGCGGCGCCCGGCGACGGCTCAGGACGCAGTTCATTTTTCAGCCGCGCCACAGAGCGCCATCTGATTAGTTTCATGTTAAATATCATTCGAATGTGCGCGTCTGGTGTGCGATACTTTAAACTGTCATGTACGCGCCGTGTCGCGGCGCCGAGCGGCGCTTCTGGTGTGCGACCTGCTTTAAAATTGTTGCACTGCAGGAAGTGTGAGGTGGCAGAAGGAAGAGAGAGGCTCTTCCATTTTGGCAGTTTTGTTTTTTATTTTTAGTTTTTGCATTACAAAGTTTACTTTAATTGTTTTTTCAGTTAAAGATTATTTTTAACTAACCCCAAACAGTAACACTGTTTTGGGGTTAGAAAACAACAAAATGGACACTACGGAGAAAGAGAATGGACAGGACACAAATGGAAAAAGGAACAGAGAACAAGGAAATGCTACAAACATGCTTGAAAGGACACGAAATGAAGATGCCGGAGAAAACAGCAATGAGACATGGGCAACAGTTGTCTCAAAGAAAAAAGAAGGAAAAGGAGGTGGTCAAGAAAAGAAAGGGGATCTACAATCAATTGCAAGTATTGAAAGTGTAAAGAATACTGAAGGACAAAGGAATGCTTTAAGTCAAAAACAACAAATGCTGAACAAACTAAAGAAGCAAGCAAGGTCTCAAAGAGAGTACAAGAAGGAAGCCACACTAACAATGATGGTAAGAGACATTGAAAACGCAACTATAAACAACATAATTAAAGCAGTAGAAGACAAAGTCGGGATTGGCAAACTACTTGGACTGAGAAGAAAAAACAACAATGAATTTGAACTGACAATGGAAAGTGAAAAAGAATGCGAGATATTGTTAAACGGACTGATGATTAATGGAGAAGAATGTGAGATGAAAAAGCTGTGTGCAACAGAAAAAATGGTATCTTTCCTGAACTTGCCCAGTTATATACAGGATGAGGAGATACAACAAAAACTAAGTAATTGGGGAGTAACTCCGATACTTCCAATAAGAAGAAAATATCATC